TGACAGACACAGACAGGTGGGAAAAGAAAAAAGGGAAATAGGTTGTATATGGTCTAGATAGGAATGGAAGTGTGGAGAAACATTATTTATATATATCCCTCACACCCTGGGATGCCCCTGCTCAGACTCAGTCCAGGGTAAGTTTTGAACCCAGCAAAGGAGCTGAAAAACATTTACTGTGTTCCAGTATGTGAGGAACATCAAGAGGCCAGGAAATTCCCATGGGCTTTTCTTTCATCCCTTCTGTAATCTCTATCTTGAGTATGTTTAGGATCCCCAGAGGGAATGACACTGCTCTGTTCTTCCTGGCAGCGTTTTCCAAGGCTGCCCCTGGAGGTACCTTCTGGATTTAGGCAGCAGGTTCCTGCCCTCTCTCCTCACCCTCTCCTACCAGCACATTGTGTGGGTGCTTGTGGTCATGTTTAAAGGTTTAAAAAGGCAACTCCCCTCATGTTTCCAGGTCTAACCCTGTATTTGAGGTTCAGTAATTTATCTTATGGAACCCACCACCTCCACTGCAAGTTCTGCAGCTCTGCAGTGGCAGTTTTAAGACAACGTCCACGCACACACTTCTCCCACTGACAGGGTAAAAAGCCTCCTGTCATTAGTTACCTGTCACAGTTAAGGAATAAAAATTAATCTTCCTTAACTGCTGGAACTGAATCTGAAGCACCTGCACCATAAAACTTCACTCAGTCTCCCCAGGAGATTCTGTTATTGCCCGAGACTGAACACCAGGGTTTCATAACCAGGACCCTGCTCTCGCCTGCTACAGCCTGGAAAGTGAGTTGTCTGAACCATGGGAGCAAACTGGCCACCCCAAGGACAGCACTTGGTCATTGGAGCAGAGTTTCCACCTCAAATTTCAGCTTTTTATTCCTCAGGTGACGCATCACACGCTGAAAGCTGGGCTATGAGATGTCAACCCCACCACTGCACCACCAGCCAGCTCCCTGCACCCCAAGGGGGGCCAAACCTGAGTCCTGACCCAGGAGTTGGCACTTTTATCAGGCCCTAGAAGACCCACTAAGCTTAGACATTTTCTGTGCAGTCCTCCCTATTTTCTTTCCCTGTGCTTCTCTCTGCTTCTGTGGATCACAGAGCAAAAGATGACAGTCCAGAAGGGATTTGAGCTCCCAGAGCTCCTCTGGAAACCAGACCTTCCCATGCTGCCATTTGACCTTGTTCTTTGTAGAACCAAAAACAGCCCCCAAAAGCAGAGGTGCTATTTCTACCATCCCTTCCTTGCAGCACATTGCCTCAGTAAATCCCACTGTTGCATTACCATGTTATGCTGCCGAGTATTTAAATGTTCATTAATTTTGGCAGCTTGTCAATTTTTCCTTAACTAATTCAAGCAAGGGAAAGAACACAGTGACTTCGTGGCTTCTCTCAGGAAAAAAGCTGATGAGAATTTCACATGAAGTGAAAGAGGAGTTTCTGTTGCCTGCAGTGACCTTCCCACCAAACACTGAAGACCTGCCCTGTGCAGTGCAGAAGTGAAAGTTTCTCAGAGTTAAGATGGCAAAATCCAATTAATTAGGAAGCACTGAGCAGCAACGTGACAGGATAACCACCAAACCCTCGTCTGTTCAATTATCATGAGAAAAGGACACAATTAAGAAAGAGCTGTCCCCAGCCAGGATGGGACCACAAGGGCTTTGTGTGTTTTAAGGCTCCTCTCCAAGTTAAAATAACAAACCAAACAGAAAAACAAATCGACCCCCAAAACTTACCAGCATCTTTATTGATCTTTTCTGACTCCTCACATGAGCATACTGCAAATTCAGCTTCTGCATCGTGCCAGCTCTGATACCACTTAATTGCTGGGGGTGTAATTAAAACGCTGCGTCACCAGCCATGAACAGCAGCAACACGTCCCTGTGCCTGCTAAAGGCAGCCAGGAGCTCCCCAGACAACCTGCAAAGACTCTAGAGAAGTGATATAATATCTCACAGCATGGCACTTACGTGCTTTAAAGTGGTTTACATGGATAGAGCAGGTCATCAATCCCCAAACTCAATTCCTTTTTTAGCAAGATGGAGCAGGGAAGCACCACAGGGTTTGTTCACGTGCAGGAGCTCCTCACCCCCCAGCCACACCTGCATGCTCAAAGCATCAACACTCAGAAAAGGAATATGAGCTTCTAAAGTTCTCAAAATGCCTGTTTAAAATTTTTCCTCAGGTTATGTTGGGAGCTTTTCACCAGTTCCTTTCCACCAAGATTGCTCAGGGACACAAAGGGCACAGCTGGGAAACCTCCCAACGTGCTGCCACGCTTGACCCAGCCTTCAAAAACGTTTCTGGTACCTCACTGGGAGATGCACATGTGTATCCACCACGCCCTGAGGTGGCTGTGGGCATGTTCTACCTGGTCCTTGCTACACCCACCACATAGGACAGTCTGATCTGGCATCCCTTGGTCCCTTCCAGGCACAGAGGGCAGTTCCTCCCAACTTGGCTACGCCAGGGATTGCTCAGAAGCTGCAAGGCTTTGTCCCTGTGCAGACACAGGACAACCAAATTCTCTCTTTGTGCCTTCTGGAAGAACAGATCAGTGTCTGGTGGCAGAGAAGACAAGACTGATAAGCAGTTGCCTGAACGAGCTGGAGCTGCAGCCAAACATCACAGATACAGCAACAGTAAAGCCCCCATGGTTTATTCCCTGTGCAGTCAGGGGGCTTGGAGCAAACTCAGAGTGCAGAGGGCAAATGTGGTCTCCTGAGAGCAGAACAACTGAGATCTGCAGATCTCTTCCAGCCTTTTCATCACTGGGTAAAGCCATTGAAAGGGAAGATAAAGCCAGGCTTTAAGGAGCTCAGAGACCCACGTCAGGCCCAGCAGCAGCCTGTAAATGAGGTGGTAGCTGGACCTTCTCTAAAAGCCTGGAGTGTGAGCACCCTGCACATGGCACAGGCTGCAGGAGCACAGACAGACAGACAGACAAGGCAACAAGAGCATCCATCAGACACAGAGATCTCCACACCAGAGATCTCCACAGCTTCTCCTACACTGCTGCTTTTATCCTCCCTTTTCAGAGGGCCAGAGCTGGAAACAAAAGAACAAAGTGCAGAAAGAACAAGTTGCTGAACCAGGCCAGCTGCCCAAAATGAAAAGGTCTGAGCCACATCCGTAGTGTCAGCAAGAAAGCTGTGTGGAAAAAACCCAACTGCTTGACATATCGAGTGCTGAGGTGAGATAATGAGCTTGAGGAGAAAGCTAAAGGGGAAAAAGGAGAAATGAAAAGATGCCCTGATGAAATTATTTAGAAATATCCGTCAACAGCAGCTCCTCAGGGAAGGTTTAAATGCTCTGCCTGAAGGAAGGGAAGGGAAGGATGGCAGGTATGGGCTGGTAAAGGGCTCTGGCAGCACTTGAATTCCTTCCCAGCATGAACAGCTGACTGTTAGTGGAGACAGTACACCCAAAAAAGAGAAATAATTCCTTATCCCAGCAGCCCTTTCCTTCTCAATAAGCACATTTCATGCACACCATGGACTTGTATCATGTGCTTTACTACAAATACCCAACCTGGGGCAGCTCCAATGCTTTGGATTTCCCCATTATGCCTACATGGAATAGGTACCACATTCATTCCTGGAATAGTGGCATTATCATCAACAACAAAGCTTGTGATCCCAGTTTTGTTCAAGTCAGGCACAGGGTGGGATTTCTGGGGTGTCCTGTGCAGGGCCATGATCCTTGTGGGTCCCTCTCAGCTCAGGACATTCTGTGGTTCTGTGATTCTGAAACAGCACAACCCAATATTTTTATTCCCCAAAGCCCGAGGGATTCCCAGATACTTCTGTACTAATTATTTACTTCCTATAAATTTTAGTTTTCAAACAGCTTTGCTCAGACAACCACAGCAAAGCAAAGTGGGCTGTATGTGGGAGGGCTAAAGGTCAGGACAATTATTTATGGGAGGTTTATGCCTTTGTTGCAGGGCTTGATGTGTCATTATTCTTGCAACTACTTTTCAAAGGTATTATTTTCCTAAACACAAATCCCCTTTCCTTCTCTCAAGGCCCACAATGTTTCTAACTGAAATTAAGTTAGTGCTTCACAAAAGCAAAACACTGTAATTTTTGAACTGTATCACTTCAAGTTGTTTTATTTTTATGCTCACAAGAGAAAGAAAACCTTTAGTTCCTCTGAGCTTTTGTCATGACAAACCACAATGATAATTACTGGGAAGTTGCTGTTGGTAAAACCTCCCAATCCAACTGTCACTGGGAAGCCAGACAAACATTCCCAAAATAACAACTAAATAATTGAGATTACTGGAGTCCCAGAACACAATCCCTTGAACAAATACCCACCAGCCAGCCCCTGTCAGGATTTCCTCTCTCTGGTTGTGTGACCAGCATGATTCATGCTCTGAGAACAAGGTGGGAGGTTACTTCATATAGTTATTATCCAAAGGCCACACTGACTATGAACAGTCTGTGCAGTGACCCATGAAGATGGTTTTAGTTAGAACAGGCTTTAATCACAGGATGATCTTAAGTACCTGGTGCCTAATCTCTTGAAGTTCTCTTGTTAATAGAAATAGGGAAACTAAGAACTCACTTTGCCCTTCCAAAGGCAAATTTTACAGAGTTCAGAGTAATTTTGTCCTTTCCCCACTATTCTCACTTTGAAAACCATCTTTTAAGAAAACCAGGTCTTTTATCTAACCACAATTTAGATGATGTTTCAATGACAAAAACAGCATTCTGTGCCTTTGCATGGAAAACACAATGCTCACACCAGCCATGTGTCAGCCTGAACCCCCTGAACAGGCACTTTAAGGCCACAGAGCTTCAGAGAAAGCAGAAATATCTTATTTATCCACTCTGCCATTTAATCCTCTCCAAGTCCCTCATATTGCAGAGATGCAGAAATGAGCAGATTAATGGCACATGTCACGTTGCTGAAGGGCTGATGTGCAACCAGAGCCCCCAAAGCCAACACAGCAGCAGCTCTGCAGAGAAGGACAACACAGGACCAACACAGGCTCAATGATCCTGCTCTTCCTTACCTGGGATCCTGCACACCCGCAGGTGGGAGCTTGTAAATTAAGTAATAGAACAAAAGAAATAAATAGTTTGGCAAAAATTACAGCTGTGTTTACAGAAGGAAGGAAGGAAGGGAACGAGCACAGTGTGCTGCCAGCAGTACAGGAGTGCACATATTTAGCCTGACACAGGCTTGAGTAGAGGCAGAGATATCAGCTGGTAACAAAGAACAAGCCACAAGTGCTTTGTATCAGTTGATGAGAAGCCTCCTGAGAAGCTCAGATTAAACAGAGGCTCCCCTCCTCTGCTCTGCTTTGTGTCTCCACAGGGCACAGCCTGTCTCGGAAATGAAATCCTGAAATCAGCTCAGGTGAGGCACTCAAAGGGAGCAGGATGAAGGCACCTGTGCAGGTACCCAAGGGACCAGCCAAACAGTGGCTGTCTCAGCACCAAGTGACTAATCAGGACAAGCTGCCACAGAGGAGCTCCAACCTCCACTGCAGTGAACGTTCCCCCAGAGCACACGCTGGCCCAAAGACAGAAACGTGACATTTCCATGGACTTAAACAGACAGACTGTGTGCAAGTTATGGATTTTATTTTTGAGAGCTGTATTTCAAAGCACTGTTTTAAAGCAGGGCTTCAAGAACACAGTGATGGAGACAACGAAGGCGGCGCTCGCTTTAGACAAAGGGTGGCTCAATTCTGTCTCGACATTAAACTCTCAAAGTAAAAAGAGATTCCAAAGAAAAATGCCAGTAATAATTTATTTCTAAAGCTCACTGGGGATTCAGGTGGAATTCTAACAGAGTGTTCAGCACACACCTTGTCCTTGTGTCTGCAAAAATACACTCTTTCTGCAAGGTAAGGCTGTCAAAGTGTGGGTACCTGGGGGCTTGGGGGATTGTACAGACGAGAACATTCTCCATTAGAGGAAATAATTCCTCTTACTGCTCCAACTTTGAAGAGCTTTGGGGGCCTTTGAAATGTTGTGAGCCATTTTCTAATATAAGAATCCATAGAGGAAAAAATCCACAGTGTAGGCCAACAGAAAGAAGCATCATGTTCAGTGCTCTGGTCACCTCCTGGTATTAAACCCAACTTATGAGAGGTCTCAGGAGGTCACAAACACTCGTATTCCTTCTGCAGAAATCGAGCACAAAACCCCCCAGCACATTAAGTTCCACCCCCAAACGTTGTTTGCAGAACAGGATGTTCCAGGATGCCTGTTATCCCGCGGGATCTGTCACAGCCCCGTGGCACTGGAGCGCTCAGATCCGCTAGCAATGCACCAGCACCGACTGGGCTGGGCTGGAAGGGACCTTAAAGACCACCCAGTTCCACCCCCCTACCATGGGCAAGGACATCTTCCACTAGACCAAGCTGCTCCAAGCCCCATCCAGCCCAAGTCACCTACCTGGCCCCTCCACCCCCCAGCACCAGCGCTATGGCGTTCCCGGTCAGGACACGGGCCAGGCGGGAGAAGTCGGAGTGACGGTCCGGTGGCTTCTGGAACACCCGTTCATACATCTCTATCTGCAGAGGAGAGGCACAGCAGAGTCAGCCAACAACATCCTGGCAACAGATGCTACAAAGATGAGGGGACTGGAGCACCCCTCTTGCGAGGGAAAGCTGAGGGAGCTGGGGCTGTTCAGCCTCGGGAAGAGAAGACTGAGAGGGAACCTCATCCATGTCCATCAGTGCCTGCAGGGAGGGGGCAGAGATGGACCAGGCTCTGCTTGGGGGGGCTCACCAATGGCACAAGAGGAACAGGCAGGAACTGATGCCCAGGAAGTTCCACCTGAACATGAGGAAGAACTTCTTTGCTGTGCAGTGACCAGAGAGGGTGTGGAGTCTCCTCACTGGGGATATTCCAGAACTACCTGGACACAATCCTGGGTGACTGCTCCAGGGGACCCTGCTTGAGCAGGGAGGTGGCACTGGATGACCCACTGTGGTCCCTTCCAGCCTGAACCTGTATATGATTCTGTTCCAAGTGGGTATCTGTTCTTCAAAGGAACAGAGGGCCAGTGAACTACCCAAACAGTTCTAGAGATCAAGTGCCTCTCCCAGTCTTCCATAGCTGCTGGGAGATTTTCATGGTATTTGCTTTGGGGCTGTTTCTTTCCTGACAAAGATTTGAAGCTCCTGAGAAGCACCCCAGGCTACCTCTGCCTTATTTTTGGCATGGCTTTCGCAAGCACAGGGATCCTCCCAACAAAAAGGAATCTATGGCACATACATACCTTTCAAAGTGACTCTGAGATAGTATTTACTGTCTTCAGGATATCAGAAATCCAAGTATGCATCCTTAAAGAAAACATGGGCCCCTTATCCCTGTTTCCTTTATTAAATTGAGGCCAAATAGATCTAAAGAGAACTCTGTCTGTGTAAGAGCCCATAGCACATCAGAACACCATGGAGTATCATTATCCCAGATCCCTTTGGATACATGGATTACAGGTAAAGTGAGGGACAGCAAGGGACCAGCTACTACATCAGGAATCTCTTACCAGCTTGGGCAGACTCCTTTTGGAGAAGACTCTGCGTGGGCAGTGGAGGTGGAGATGAGCAGAACACCAGCTCCGCATGTTGAGCCATTCCACAGTTCGGGAAGGGAGGGGCCCATCCTCCTTATGGAGCAGGATGAGCTGCTTCTGGGCTCTCACTGCAGTGTTCTCCAGCATCCTCTCCAGCTACAGCAGGTTAGGGACACCAGAGGAATGGGGGGTCAGGTACTGCCCGCTCCAGTGTCAGTGTAACAGGTATGAGACAGACACACCCCCCTCACCCCACTCCCACCTGAACCCACAGAGAACTCTGCACAGCAAGAACCCCCAAACATGATGGATTCAGACAATTGATTTGTCTGATTTTAGACTCCTGGCACACAAAGATTCAAACCTAAATGCTTTTGACCCAAAGCAGGCCATGAAATGCACATGCAGACACACCCTCTCCATGCAACATGAGATGTTCCCAAGCCATACTCAAGCCTACAAATGTTCAGCGTGTTTTCTTTTTTCCCTTCCCATCAGTTCACTTTTTTCTCCTTGTATTTCTGATTTTGACTTGTTTTCTTATTGGTTTAGGCAACTGCTGGCAGCTGCTGTGCCTGTGCTCCCTGCCTCCCACACCCACAAAGGCTGCACGTGGGACCTGTCCAGGCTCTTTGGAGTCAGACTCAGCACTTCACAGTCCTAAAAAAAAAAACCCACTTGGGATCTTATTTTTAAATTTCTTGTAGAATTTATGTGCCTGGTCAAACTTAGGTAATAAAACATAAAAATAATAAAAATAGATAGTAAAGGAAAAAAAATTACAGCTTACAAGCTGTAATAAAATAGATTAAATTATTCATACACTGCAATTTAGATCTACTTTTTCCTAGGCACACACCATGAATTTCATCCAGGCAGAAAAGAATTTCTCTCTCTCTGTGTGGAGATTCTGTGAAGAAATTCTGGGCAGAAGCTCAAAGGTTCAAAGCAATTTACTTTTGATTTACCATTGGCCAAAATGACTCTTTAGAGGAAAAGAACCTTGCTGGAAACACTCCTCCATAAAACTTGACCTTTCAGGGGGTTCTCATGCAATTCTTTTCCCATTTCTAGCACGCATTTCCCAGGAATATTTCATCATTTACGCTTCTCTGGGCATTAAACCCGGGAAAACTCCTGGGTGTGGAACGACACCCTTTGAGCTGGGCTGCCAGAGGTGCAAAGAGGGGTGTTCCCAACCTCTCCCACGGTGGGCTCCTGGTCCCCCAGCCCCACGATGAGGATGCAGTCGGCCTGGCGGATGCAGCGCTGGGTCCAGGGGGTCAGGGAGCTGTCGGCCTGGTACAGCACGATGCGGTGGATGTCCTCCTGCTGGCCCAGCCAGCTGGTCAGCCTGTACTCATGGATGCTGGGACAGAGTGGGAAAACAAAATGGGGTTATGTCACAACTCCCAAGAGAAAAGATAGGAATCTGACTTGTCACCAACCCCGGCAGAGCTCAAGGAGTGTTTGGATGATACCTTCAGGCAGCCCAGGGAATGGCTGGAGCTGTGTCAGGGCAGGGTCAGGTTGGATCTCAGGAAAAGCTTCTTCCCCCAGAGGGTGGTTGGCACTGACCAGGCTCCCCAGGGCAGTGGGCACAGCCCCAAGGCTGCCAGAGCTCCAGGAGGGTTTGGATGATCCTCTGGGGCACAGGGTGGGACTCCTGGGGATGGGCCTGTGCAGGGCTGAGAGTTGGACTGGATGATCCTTGTGGGTCCCTTCCAACTCAGCATATTCTGGGATTCTGTGAAAATCTGAAGGGCAGAGACCTGCCCTATTGCTCAGCCAGTCTAAGAATCTTATCTGCTCCCATCTCCAGGCTCATGCTTGCTCTGTTTCTCCAGTATTTATACTATTACACACATACACCAAGGAAGGAGGATGCAGTGATGCCTCACTTCACTAAAGCTTCCATGGCATCCCTAAGAATGAGCACACAGTGACCACTTGGAGCAATTCAGCTTTTCCAATCTCACAAGTGATAAACTGACTATGGAAAAAACCCGCACATTTGAAACAAATACTTTTCAAACATTGTTCACAGAATCATAGAATATCCTGAACTGGAAGGGATCCACAGGGATCATCCAGTCCAACTCCTGGCCCTGCACAGACACCCCAACAATCCCACCCTGTCCCTCAGAGCCTTGTCCAAACCCTCCTGGAGCTCTGGCAGCCTTGGGGCTGTGCCCACTGCCCTGGGGAGCCTGGTCAGTGCCAACCACCCTCTGGGGGAAGAAGCTTTTCCTGAGATCAAACCTGACCCTGCCCTGACACAGCTCCAGCCATTGTCTCCAACACTTGGATGAGAAAGCCCTATGTATGTCAGAACACAGGGTTTTATTCCCAAACTCTCTATATTCATGAGCAGTACAAAGTCTCTCTGCACTTTCCCCCAGTAACAAGGAGGGCAGGTACCTGTCGAGGGCAGCAGAACCCAGTCTCTGTTTGATGTTGTCACTGGTGAGCAGCAGGGCAGGACCTGCAGGAACAAGGAATTTCATCTGTGAACATTTGTCATTGAGCTCCTGACAAACTATGTGGAGAACACTGCCCAGAGGAGCTGTGGCTGCCCCATCCCTGGAAGTGTCCAAGGCCAGGTTGGACGGGGCTTGGAGCAACCTGGGCTAGTGGGAGGTGTCCCTGCCCATGGCAGGGGGAAGAAGGAGATGAACTTTAAGGTCTCTTTCAACCCAAACCAGTCTATGGTTCCATGAAGCTGCTTTGAAGATGGTGATGGCTCAGTGCATTGATCAGGGCTGTTGTAGAAGAAAGAGCTGGCACAAAGCCTTCACAAAAATTTTCACACTTATCTACAAATACATCTTCCCATTCTCCATATTCCCAGAGCTCTGCTACTGTGTCACAATTTTCAAGCTCTGTTATCCCATTCCTCAGTGTCATGTAGGATCAAAGAATCCCAGACTGGTTTGGGTTGGAAAGGACCTTAAAACTCACCTTGTTCCACCCCCTGCCATGGGCAGGGACACCTTCCACTTAGCCCAGGTTGCTCCACGCCCCCGTCCAACCTGGCTCTGGTGACAGTTCCTACTGCAGCTGCATGTTCAGAATACCATGGACATTTACAACCACAGAAAGCCCAGGAACCTGGTTGCATAGAAGATAAGCTGTTTGACAGCCTGAAATACAGAGTTTGTTCATCCTGCATGGAACCAACCTCCCAGGTGAACCCTAAACCTCTCTGTAGCAGTACTACTTCCTACTCAACACACCAACAGGAATCTCACCCAAAATACTCCCAGATCTGTAGGACACAGTTGAACTCTACTAGAGAAACAGGCACACACATATCTGGCAACAACTTTACATCTGAGTTGAACTTTGTTGCACAGAAAGCTTCTTGCATCCACTTTAGTTTAATTTTCTTATGAGCAACTCTATTTCAGCAGCAGCAATTTGTGCCATATGTGGTGGAGGCTGCAGAGTGACTGCAGCTAAATACAAAAGAAAGCAAAGAAAAGAAAACTTGAGGGAATAACTGCGCACGTAAAGAAAACGTTACCTGTCTCTTACTGAGAGAGAAAGTCACATTTACAAGACATGACAGAGCAGCTGCTTTGTATTTGTGTTTTCATTGTGCAATCCTTCATTGTTTCATTAAGAAAAGAACTGAAATTCATGTACCAAATAACAAAACACTTCATTATGTGAGGGCTCTCAAGGCAAGGTTATGATGTGTTCAGTAAAAACCACGGAACCGTGAACGAACAACATGGGAAAAGGTCACAATTTCACACCAACATGTTCGAAAAGCAAAACCCACAAGCACAGATTGGAACCGGCCAACCTGACCTTCAGGGCCAACTCAACCCCCAGGGCTTGATTATTCCTGCAAGGGCTTCACTCTGCTTTAACAGACTTCAGTGTTAGACTAGAAAAAGCTCACAAGTATGATTTTTCATCTTGCGTTTTCAAACACCCAAATAACGTTTGCTCTTTGTTACACTTACGATGAAGAAAGAGCAAACAAAAAGGGACAAAAATATCCCATAAGCGGAGACCAAAAGATAAAAAGTAACAGCTGGTGAGAAAGCACAAAAAAGAGGATGATTTAAGGGTAGAATTTAACTTCCTCACCCTCCAATAAAGGTTCTGGAACCTGGTTCCTAAGAAAGCAAGGAGGGAATGAGCTCAGCAGCATTTCCAGAGCAGACCTGGTTTAACTTGCCCTTCCCTCCTCCCTCTGCTGCTCCCCAAACTGTCCAACTGCAGGGAACAGCCCCAGTGCCTGGTGAGGGGGTTTGTCACCTTATTTTTGACAATGGGAGATTCTCTGAGGTGATTTACCATTCACCTGACAAAGAGCAGGTCCAGCACAGCTTTGAATGGCATAATGGGATAAGAGAGAAGAAACAGTGATGGCATTGCACGTGACAAAGCCAGCAAGGGAGAGAGGGCAGGCCAGTTCTGAAAGCATTCAAGAGCAGAGTTATCATTAGTGTTTGCTAATGTGTCAGATCCTCAGCAAAATAGAAATGATATGCAGACAAAATATTCTTCCAGGATATGTGACTTACAAAGCTTTGTGACAGTGGTGGAAGTTTAGCAGGCAAAGACAAACAGCCAGGAATGCCAAATGAGCTGAGGAATACAATAAAAATGTCAAGTAGGAGAGACTAACACCGAGGAGGGAACAGCCCAGCCGTGCTCCACCTCTGCCTTGGCCTGTTCCCTGCCTGCCCCTGGGCACTGAGATCCAGGAGCATCAGCAGGGGAGTGTGGAGTGTCCCACACTGGTGATGCACCAGGGCCCAGGCCCTAAGGGGACACCATTAAACCCAGTGACCTGCAGCCAGAACAGCTCTCATACAAGGTGAGAGGCAGAGTTTGTAGGGCTGGGGTGAATCTTTCTCCCAGTCAAAGGTGATGGCAACTTCAGCCACAGTACCTTGACTGGTGCCCATCAAGCACCACAGGAGCCTTGGAGAGGTCTATGGCTTAGAAATCACATTCACTCTCCTCCCTTTTGACTTGGGAAAGCAGCAGTTCACAGCACAGGACACAAACAGGGGTGCCCAGACAGATCCTGGCTGTGCCAGCTCAGGAGGAGCCTGCCCAGCATCCATCCCATCCCACCCCACACACAGGTGGCACAGGACAAAGATTCCCAGACCTTTACTTATGCCCAGCACAGAACACAGTGATGATTCCAACAGAACCAACTCTGTTTTGTCTCAGAAACACCAACCATCTGCTCCACACTCCCAATTTCTCACAGGCTCCCAATTAATGGATCATTAAATAACCCTCCATTAGTGTGCTCAAGAACACCAACATATGCAAGCTCAGAAAACAGAACGACCAAAAGTGTCCTTGAAACTCAACTGCTGAGAGCAACAAAGTCATAAAAAAACATCATTCTCATCCCTGGAAGTGTCCAAGGCCAGGCTGGACGGGGCTTGGAGCAACCTGGGCTCGTGGAAGGTGTGCCTGGCCATGGCAGGGGGTGGCACTGGATGAGCTTTAAAGTCCCTTCCAACCCAAACCATTCCCTGATTCCACGATGATTCAAGTCCACGCCCCTCAAACAGCCACCCCTGCAGGCAGGAGTGACCAAGTCCACATGTTAGTGCATCCTTAGAGTGCATCATCCCAGTTACACACCTGTGCTACATCACCCAGAGATGCTTCCTCCACGCCCACCATCAGCCCCGTGAGCAACTCCCAGCTGGCACCGTGGACACAGCCCTGCATCCCCCAGGGAATGTGCTCCTTCAGCAGGACCAGACAAGGGTGAACAGCTCAAAGGTAAGAGCACAGGAGAGGTGATATGAGGTAACATGAAATATTAATCTGAGCCCTGCAGTGTCTCTCTGACAGCAGCCAGAGCAGATTGCTGGGGAGGAGGAGTATTAGAGCAAGGACAACTTAATGCCATCCTCTGAGCCTCCAGCCATCTGCAGCTCAGGGAATTCTCAAGCCTGGGGTGGTGACTTTCAATAGCCAGGGGGGATTTTTCTTTCACTGAAGAACTCACTGGGCTTCTGAATCCCCCTTTTATGTGCTTCAGGTGAGAGAATTCCATGGCAGCAGCTCAGGGGGATCGTGATTCATGGGGAAACCTCCTGGAGCACCTGAATCCGTGCTCCAGAGCCATCTGTTTTTCAGTACAGAACTACAGTTCCAAGAAAGAGAAGAGAGGAGAAAGAAAAGCTGGGAAATATCAGAGGTCTGGTTCATTTTCTCTTCCAAGAACAAAGGGCACTGAAGGGAAGGGCTGTGGCAGCTCTTCAGCAAAGCTTCCAAACTCCAGCCCCAGTGGGGGGACAAAAGCACCACATGAGAGACATAAAACCCTTCCTTTCTTTCCAAGAATGAGCAAGGGACTCACTTTGGTAATTTTTTTTATATAACATTAATTTCCTAAGATATGCAGGAGTTGGAATACAGGTGTCCTAGTTCTTAGTCTAATAAAACACAATCCAGAAGTTGCCTAGAAAAATCAGATGCCCAGAGGGCAAGGGATGATTTTGAGGCTCAGAAATCCACCTTACCTGGAAAACTTACTCACACCAAAAGATACAGCCAGTACAAAATACATCATGGAAACATTTTAGCAGAGCAAACTTATTTGGCTGGACTCCATCAAAAGAAAATTTACTTTTGGCCTAATAAAAGTCTACAAAATTATGTGTCAGAGAGACTGAACTGATAAATGAGTTGGATGGCAGAAGATCTAACCCATTAAAAATACCAAATTGTGCCAGGGTCCAGGAACCACAGTGAACATTTCACATTTAAATCTAATCTGTGTGTAAAGAAAGGAAATTCAGGCAGAACTAAAATTAAAAACTCAAATAAATTATTAATAAAGATATTTCAGTGAGCTCTCCAATACATTATACATTTTTAGAACTGAAAAGAAAGCTTAAATTTAAAGGGCAGAAAGGAATGAGAGAGACACATATGTTGGATTTGAATCCCTCTGTACTTCAGTTTGAAATTCTATGAGATCAGAGGGCTCCCACATAGAACCAGAATTCACACAGCCATGTGGTGTCTTTTAGCTGGTCTCAGTAAAAGAACAAAAAAAAGTAGTTAGGCAAATACTTTGAAAAATCTGAATACTGCAGAAGAACTTCTTATCAAAAGATGCTCTCAGCTCCACCAGCATTCAGAGGAAGAAATATTCCTAATAAAAATAGACATCCTGAACACTGGGCAGAATTCACCAGCACAGCAGTAACACCTGCACACCTTCATGGTGCTCCAGATCAGAGCTGGAAAATTCTGTTCCTGCTTTCTGGGAGTTGTACACTGTGCAGGTTCTTCCTCTGGAGCCCCAGAGCCCCGGGTTCCCAGGCAGTGAGCCTGCAGCACACAGAGGGGCAGCCCCGGGCACTGTGCCCTGCAGGACCTTCCTGCGCTGCCCACAGTGCTCAGGGCATGGTCCATGTTGGTCCCTGTCCCAAAGGGAAGGCAGGGCCACGTCCAGTTACTGCTGCCAGGTACCAACTCCTT